GGCAGGGCGTCGGGGACGGGCTGAGCCCTGGCTGCGCCAGCCCCGGCTCGGACACCAGCCAGGTCCCGCCCGCCCCGCGGCTCCTGTGGGAATGAGCAGGCCGGCAGGGGCGTCTCCCTCCCGCGCTGCCCTCTGCTCTCGGGGCGCCCCAGGGTGGGTCCCACCCCACGGCCTTGCACGGTTCCACGCTCGCCGCATCCATGTTCCCTTCTCGAGGGCCTACGGCGGCTTTCTAGGTTTCCCTGGGCCAGCCAGACGCCGAGAGTGACCGCCACCCCGGCCGCCGGTGATGGCGGCCTGCGAAGCCAGGAATGTCTGTTTGCTGTGGCCGCCTCAGTCCCACCCGGCCGCGGGGCTCTCACGCTCATCGCTACAGGGGCCTCACGCCTGCAGGGGTCACTGACCCCCGCGAGCGGTCGGCACGCCTGTCGGAGTCGAGGCCCAAAGCCCACCGAGTGCGCCCCGGGACCCCCAGGCCCCTTCCCCTCCAGGGCCCAGGGCTGCGGCCGAGGCACCCCAGCCTTCTCCTCGGCGATTAGCGCCCCCCGCCCCGGCCCCGAGGCCTCAGCTGCTCCCTCGGACCCGCCTCCCCTCCGCCCACGCCTCAGCGCCTGGACCCCGAGACGAGACGCACAGCTCGCAAGCCCCTGACTCGGAACTATGGCCGCTGTGCTTTTCTGCCCAAACTAGCCACAAGCCACGCAGCGGGGCGAGGTCTTCTCAGGTTTTTAGGGGCAAGACAGAGTCTCCTCTGAACCCCACTATTGAACCGCATGAGCTTGAGGTTCAGTCTGGACTGGGCGAGTGGCCCTCGGGCTGGGTCTTGCAGCCCCCCGCCTGCGCCCCAACTCTGGCCTCTCCTCACTCCAGGCTACACCCGCCGGACCTCGGCCTCCACCCCCAGCAGTGAGTACCCAGGGGTCTGGGCCCCGAGCCCCCGGCCCCGTGACAGCCGTCGTGCACCCCGGGGCCCAGGGGAGGAGGCAAAGGGCCTGGCTGCCGTGGGGGCGGGGGGCGCCCAGGGGTCACAGCCCCTCAGAATCTTCACTTCAGGCCCTTTCTTTGCAGCCAGCGAGGCCGTCCCCCCCGGGCCGTCGCGCGCCCCAGCCCCCCGCCCCAGCTCCGCAGG